TCCCCAGCCCACCCGTGTCTCTGTGCCTCTCCTCTCCCTGTCATTCCCAAGTTTAAGAGTAAAAGTCACTTCCTTGTCTCTGTACAAAGAGGTGTCAGAAATGACTCAAAAGCCAGAGGCTAGGCTAGGTGCAGTTTATTTCATTAAATTTTCTTCGTGTTAATCTTCGAGCATCTCTACCTCCTTCTTTCAAACTGACGGCTGTCAGTCGCCTGGGATCTGGGTGCCCCGACAAGCCCAGACACCCCCCAAGAGAAGCACCTAGTGCTGGTACGTGCTGCAAGTCCCCATGTACCCGAGGTTGGAGATGATCCGTTTACAGGTTACACAGTTTGCCCGATGATCATAAATTGACGTGTAGCGCTAGTGATTTAATTAAAAATGTTTTGGAATAAAAGTGAAGTTTAGAAGTGATGTTCCCCTCGGATCTGAAATTCAGAGTCCCGGAACTGAAAGAGATTTTGCAGGTCGCTGATTTCCTTTTCCTCGTTTTTGGAAACAGTGAACATAGTGGATTCTCTTAGAGTGATCCTTGAGACTTGGCCTGACTCTGGCTAGTCCACACCGATGTGTGAATCGGCTCCAACCCCAGGTGAGAAGCCAAGGAAAATGCCAGAAAAGTGAAAGCTGGTCGCAGTCCAGCATCCGAGAGGTGGACGCAGGCTGCCGTTCCCCTCCTCTGCCCTTTACTCGGGGTTACGGGAGGGGGTTTGGAGCAGATGTGGATGCCTTCCTGCTGTGTGAGGTGCTTAGGACAGGGTGCTCCTGCTGTCTCCCAGAGGAACCTCAGGGAGCCCTTTCTCCCCCACCCTTTTCCTCTCTTCCTCGGGGAAGCTCCTTCCGGGGGCACTTCTCCCCAGATACTCCGGGGTAATCTTCAGAATACTTGCACATCTCCCATCATACTTTGTCCCCACAAGAATCCTGTGATCTAAGTCGAGGAGATGTTTATGTCCCCATCTTGCAGATGGGAAAACTGAGGCTCAGAGCCGGGGAGTGTCGTGTTTAAGGTGCTGGCCTGGCTGGGTCTCAGCTTTGGGATCCTTGATCTGGTGGCTCCAACCAGTAACTGTGCGAAACCGAAGCCTCTGTCGTTCATTCAGGCGTGCATTCATTCACTCCACGCCTTTGCATTTGGTGCCGACCATTAAGGACAGGCAGGAGAAATCCCTCACCCTCAACCTCGGTGCCCGAGGGGTCACCTGCCCCCTTCTTAAGGATGTGGAGACCTTCTGAAGCTTTCCCAAGCCTTTGAACTGAGACGTTATGTGTAAGGTCTAACCCGTATCCCTCCCGTTGCATTAAATCTTTGCCTTCCTGTCCTGTCCTACACAAGAAAAGCACTCCCTCCATGGAAGGCTCCACAGAAGGGCCCCGCAGAGTCACATGGCCGCCAGGGCAGCCTCTGTGGTCTCACTGTGCGGCTCTCTCCCCAGCTGCCTCTAAGCCCAGCTCAGAATTGCTCTCCAGACCCTGGGGGCCTCCCAGCCAGTAGACAGTAGTAGGAAGAGAGCCCACCTTTCCTGTTTAAAGGTCGCTAACCTCTTACACTTATTCAGGTAGGATCGTCCCCATTTTATAAGACAAAGATGCAAACAGACAAAGCAACTTGTCCAGGATCACACCACGAATCAGTGACAGGGCCAGGCCTGAGGGGAGGATCTGGGACTCTCACACTAGTACCTGTTGCTGCCTCCTACTGGTCTCAGCTGCGCATCCAGCTCCCTTTGGTAACTTCTAAAAGTCTGGATTTGGCACTGCCACCATCTTTCACTTGTGGTCCACTTCGACCATGAGATTATTTTTCCCTGTCTTCCCCTAGTTCTTTATTTGTGCTTGTGTCTCAGTTCCCAGTTAGAGCAAACTTCTGTTGAGGGTTCACCATATACCAGGCCCTGTTGTAAACTCTTTAAGTATACAATGTGTCTAATCCCTCCAGTAACCTTTTGAAGGAAATTGTATTAGATGAGGGAGGTCTTATTATTCTCCCTCATTTTACAAAGAGGGATTCAGAGGGACGAAGAGATTATACTTTGTGCCTGGGTAACAGCTAGAAGTGGCAGAACTGGTCTTCGAACACAGGCAGGAGGATGCCCACTCTGGATGAGGGTCCTCGATCAGGCCCCAGTGGACAGATGGTGGTTGTTCAGGATTGAACATAGTGACCCTTTCCCTTCTCGTGCTGGGGGGAAGTTGGGCAGCTCCCTGGGTTAATTTCCCTGCTCTCTGGCTGGATGGGGTCACTCTGAACTTCCTTTCCACTCGCTAAGGGTTTGTTTGTCCACTTTGTTCATTATTAGCCATTATTCCAGCCAACCAGGGGCATTTACGGGGCCCCCACCAGGCGCCGAGCCCACCGTGTATATAGCAGGTTCTGGATGGAGGTGTGTAGGGGCAGTCCCCGGCCTGGCCTCTGGGATCCTGCACCCGGCTTGGGGCCCTTGTGGGTTAAGAGCTTGTGCACCAACAGTTCTGGGGCAGTTCCAGTACACGAGACCTGCACTGGCTGGAGTGGTCAGGGGCTCCAAATCGTGGAGGACGGGGATTTATCCCATGCCCGGGAAGCTAGGTAGAGCTACAAAGCCCAGAGATGGAAGGCGTGCAGGTGGGAAGCACAGCATGGGCAAAGACGAGGAGGAGGGGATACGCAAGGCCAGACTGCAGTGGGCCTGGGGGGCAGGGGGGGGGCTCGGGGACGGTGGTGCAGGCGGGAGATGAGGACCAACAGTCACGTGCACGGCCCCTGGCTCAGCTCGGAAGACCCAAGTTCCCCACCTGGAAAATAGGGACGAGCTCCCCGTAGAGACCCTAGGAGTCTGGAGCGCCTGGGGTGCTGGCAGCAGGCGGGTGTGCCCTCATGCCCTGCCTGCCCTGGAGACCCCACATCCACCGTAGGATCTGACCTGTGTCCCACACTCACGCCCTGCCCGCTTGTGGGGACTTGGTGGGAGGACGGGCCTGTGCTGAGACAGACTCTCCCCGAGTCCCCGTCGCTATTGAGAGGTGGGGCTTAGCCTACCGTCTGTGCTGTAACCTTGGGCGCCCCTCACCTCGCTGGGCCTCAGTTTCCTCCCCAACCAATTGAGAAGAACAACCCTTTCCTGCCTCTCCCGCAACGTGACCGTGCAGAAGGTGCTGGGGTCTCCCGTGAACGCTGTCCTGGGCTGGACGTAGACTCCCTCCTCCCCCCTGCCCCCGAGCCCTCCCAGTGCTACCCGCCCGCCCGCTCAGGTGGTCCTGGCCCCTAGGCACCCGGAAGTCTCTGTGTGAGGCCCTGCGGGTGCAGGCCAGCCGGGCGTCCACGCTGGGTGGGTCCTGAGAAGGCCGTGCGTCACTGTGGGTGGAAGGCGACACTTGTGTCCAGCTCCAGCTGGCCGTGCGCTGTCAGGCTGTGAGAGAGGCCGGGTCTCCAGGAGGTGGCATCCTGGGACCAGCCAGAGGGGCCAAGATTCAGGGGCCTGACCCCACCCTCCCCAACCAGGATGAAGGACTCCTGACCCCCACAGAAGGCGGGGTGGACCCCGGCCCCCAGACCCTGCCCAGACGCCCTTCTCCCTCCTTCCCCGTGCAACAGCCACCATCTGGGCAGGCCCCCTCGCTGTTTCTCCCCGTCCCTCCACCCCCCTGTCCCTAATGCTGGACAGTTTGGAAAGAAGCCCGATCCCGTGGGGTCCCCGCCCTACAGGTGGCCTTGTGTGCTTTCAGCAAACACAGTCCCCGACCCCCGGAACGAGGGACTCTTCCTGCCGCCTCTCTTGCCCAAGTGCACAGCCCTTTGGAGTCCCGGGGCAGCCGAGGAGCCGTCCCGTGGGGAGACTCTCCAGGCCAGCGAGGCCCCCAGCACAGCTCGGTCCTCGGGCCACGGGCAGCGGGGCCTGCCTTCAGCCGCATGCCGGCCTCGCGCTCCGGGGCGTGCCGGCGCATCCCGAGGCCCCATGGCAGGAGTGGGAAGCGCCTGTGGGGCGGGAGCCCCGGGGTCGGGTGCAGGGCCCGGGCTCAGCTCTGAGGACCGCCAGCCATTTAGAGCTGCTGTGAGACCGCTTCCCAGCATGAATTTATTTATTTTCCCTTATTTCCAAGGAGCAGCTTGCTGATTAACCTGTCTGCCCTCGATAACCAGCAAAATCCCACGGGAGTTCTAGAAACCAGGGTTTGGCTTTAGCGGCCATGCGTCATCGCAACTGTGGGAGGGCTGGATTTTAACCCACTGTCCCACACTTCCGTCTCGTCGGCCCCCCGGAGCCCTTCAGGCGGGTGGGGAAACCGAGGCAGGGCTATATACGCAGGGACCCGCTCTGTTACCCACCTCTGTCAGCCTCTCCCTCCCTGCCTCCCTCCCCCTCCCTGTGGCCCCTAAGACCCCCACCCAGATAAAGTACTGAACCCAAACTGGTGACTTGGGGTCTGTTTGGGGAAGACCCCAAATGAACACGGTGAGTGCCTGGCCTCGGACCACACAGCAAGTTGGTGGCAGAGCCGGCGCCAGAAACCGGTCCAGGGCAGGGGCATGATGGGCCTGCGGCCACCTTGACGCGACATTGCCGAGCACGCTGGCCAGTGGGGGTTGAGATTTGCAGGCGCAGAACCTAAGCTGGGCTCTGCACTGCCCGGGCCCCTGTGGACAAGTGTGAAGAGCACTTCCTGGGGGTCGACCTTGCGGCCGGCAGCCTGGTCCCTCAGGGCCAGCCTGCTCTAGCCCCGTAGAACCGGGGGGCCTGCGGAGTGGTGAGTGTCTGCCTTGGCGTCTTCGTGTGTCATTAGCAGGGAATGTCTCCTTCTCGAAGGTCAGCTCCGTGAAGGCAGGGCCTGTCCGCCGTGTCCCCAGCTGTCTCAGCCCCTCAGGCACTGCCTGCTCCTGGCGGGCATTCAGTGAGTGTTTGTTGAATGACTGAGGGAGCGAGCAGATGAAGTAGTTCGGTCTGAAACATGTGGCCCTCTGAAGGCCCATCACTGACAACGTGACGGCAAACGGGTTTCCCTTTTCTTGCCCCTCAGCTGCTGAACTCGCTGTCCGTGGACCCTGACGCCGAGTGCAAGTATGGCCTGTACTTCAGAGACGGCAAGCGCAAAGTGGACTACATCCTGGTGTACCATCACAAGAGGCCCTCGGGCAGCAGGACTCTGGCCAGGAGGGTCCAGCACGCAGACGCCGCCCCAGCTGCCCGCAGCGTCAAGCAGGACCAGCCCCTGCCTGGGAAGGGGGGCCCAGTGGGAGCGGGCGAGCCCGAGCCCCCGATGGACTACCACGAGGACGACAAGAGGTTCCGCCGGGAGGAATACGAGGGGAACCTTCTGGAAGCCGGCCTGGAGCTGGAGCACGACGAGGACGTAACTATCCCCACTTCTTGTTGGCTTGTGGGGGTGGGCAGCCCCGGGGGCCGTGCATTCCATTTTCAGAAGGTGGTGCGGGAAATCTAGCTTAAACCTGTTCTCAGGGAAGGCAATGGAAACGCCTCTCTTGGTAGGGTTGGGTAGACATCACTCCTGGGCGGCTTTGGGGAGCCCCAAACCAGCCCCCCCAGGCCACATCTCTGTGGGAGGGGCTGGTCTTCTCAGCAGTGACCTTCGGGGTCAAGGCATTTCCTGCCCTGGTCAGTTCCTTCCCTGGGAAGATGCGTCCGTCCTTTGGGCCGGAGTACGAAGCTCTCCTGGGAGTCTTCCTGTGGTTGATCTTGGCCCTTCTCGGGCCTCAGTTTCTCAATCTGTCAAATGAGGAAGTTGGTCTGGCTGACCCCTGGGGGCCTCTGAAATCTGATGACCTTGGCACTGTTTTCTGGGGCTCCTCTCCCTGGCGAAGCCCGAGAATCTTTCTAAGGGAAGTTTTTCTGGAAAGAGCCAAAGGTTGACTCACCTGGTGTGCAAGGCTGCCCCGGTGGCGGAAGGCACGGCGATGTGCTGAGGAGGGACCTTGGTGGTACTTGGGAGAGCGGGCGCTTCCCTCAACTTCTCAGCGAGTTTGCTGGTGTTCCCCCACCAACTCCTTAACCTCTCTGTGCACGGGGCGCCTTCCTTCCATGAACATTAGGGGACAGGCCTCTCGCCCACAGACCTGTCACTGTGCAGGATAACCAAAAATCAGCAGAAGTCTCTCCAACACACGAAGAGCAGAAAAAGCAGTCAGCAGGTTAACTCAGGGAGCCGTGAGTCCACCGCGAACGTTTAAAATAAAAGTTGTCCTTGGTTAGATCTTTCGTGGACGAGAGCCACTGCACCCTTAAATAATGAATGCTTTGGGTCCGGTGATAAGAGTGCCTTTGGGGTATTCACATCCGAAAGCAGGTCTGTTAGAGACTGGTGTGTGACTTCTGTTTCGTGACAGGTCATGGGAATCTGTAAGAAGGGCTCCCCAGGGCCTCTTTCTCCCTTGGCCTAGTGGTGGAGGGACCTTGTGTTCCACATGGGGCATCTCTCTGGGTGGCAGCCACCGTTGTAGGTTTGGCGAGTTCTGCCACAGGGGTGCTCCCCGTGGGAGTTGTGAGGACATGTGAGGGGCCTTGGCAAGTTTTGATGATCAGGAGCACAGGTTTGATCCTGACAAGCTTGCGGAGAGCCTTGCTCCCTGACTTTGAGGGCAGCGGCTGCAGACAGGGATGTGCTGGTCTTTCTGGAGTTTTCTGTCTCGCCTTGTCTGAGACCCGAGGTGGGGCCCCTCGGGTGAGAAAAGCCATCGATTCTCCTGACTTTTCCCAGTGTCCTGCCTGGCCAGCCCTGCGGCGCTCTCTCGAAACAATACTGCTACTATGCAGACTTGACGCCAACCTGTCATTTTATAACTAGAGGAACAAATGGCTCCGTCAGAGGCGGGGGAGGCTGGAGGGAGGCTGGGGGGCAGAGGCCTCGCCCGGGAGCTGGGCGTGCGGAGCCGCAATCTCGGGCTCTCTGCGACCTGTGCCTTGTCTGTTCGCCGAGGGATTTGCTCTCTGTCCTTGTCATCCTTTCCTGACCACGACTTTAAAATCTCAAGCTTATAGGGACCCCCGCGAGGTCTGGTACTTCAGACTGACCCTGGCCAGATGCCAGACCCTCTACCTATCTTTGCAGGACTCATTGAGCTCCTTAGGCCTCAGTTTCCCCATACGTCAAATGGAGATAACAGTAGTATTTACATCACTGGGTTATCGTGAGTAAAGTGCTTAACTTGGAGTCTGGCACGTGGCAAATTCTTATTGGCTGATGTTAATGTTATATCATATTTTAGTGGTCATATTGAGTGGGCATAGCAGTCCCAAGAAGAAGCGAGAAAAGAGCCTTTCCAAGTCCATTTAAATACTACATCACACCTGTCTTTTTAAAACCTTTATTCTCTCTCATGACTTTGAAATACAGAGCAAATATAAAGACATTGGTCTGTCACCAGAAAAGATCTAGTTTTCCTAATAAGTGGCCCCAAAATGTCATCGATAATTTGGCTCTGGAGCAAAGAGGCTTTTCAGCCATGGATCGGGCTCTTTTCAACGTGAACGTGTTACTGCGGTGTAGACTAGACGGTTCACGTTTTCAAAGTGGCTGAAGTTGGGTGTGTACCGTCTTCCTGCTGGAGTCTCTCAGATCATAAACCGTGTTTTACAAGCCCATCCCATAATTCTGGAGCTTTCATCTGAGATGAACTAGGCCAGGGTTGTTGGAAACAGCCTCCCCTGCGGCAGCCTGTTGCATTCACCCGCCCCCCGAGACAGGCAGAACCGGAATCCGTTCAAAGGCCGTCTGGGTGCACGCAGGTCCCGGGGTGTGCGTGGGCCCCTGCCAGCGTGATTAACCCATAGCCGCCGTCCTAGTTGTTCCAGGGGCAGAGGCAGCCTAGCTACTGAATCCTTCCCGGGGCTGTGCTCAGATTATAAGGAGTGAAAGGGTTTGCAGTTTTGGAAATAAGATAGCCTCCAAGAGAGCCCGTTGCACAATCTTACCCAACTGGAAGCAAAATCGGGGGCTTATGTGCACTTTCCTGGGGAGAAAAATCTATAGAATCCATCAGATACACAAATGCTCAATGACCCCCAAAGGATAACGAGTCATTGCTCTAAAGCCGGCGTCCTCAGCTTTGGCACTACTGCCATCCGATACTGCGCAGCATCCCTGGCTTTGGTCATGCAACCAGAAATGTCCTCAGACATTGTCCCCCGGGGGCTAACGTCACCCCTGGTTGAGAAACCCTGCTTTCAAAGCTGGATGGAGGCAAAAGGAGAAGAGGGAACTGGAGGGATGGGAGATAAATAAACAAGCCCCCGGGGGGTGGGGCCCCTCCAGACTGTCTGCTGGCCCGGCCTTCCGCAGCCGTGACCAGGCGGCCGCGTGGAGGTCACTGGCAGCACAGAGGTGACCTGCCTTTGCTCCCGGAGGGGCCAGAGGGTATGTGAGGCTGCTCGTGGGCTGCGAGCCCCACACGGACGGGGCCCCTCTGCTTGCCCTCTCCCAGTCAGGGGCTTTATTGCTGTGAAGAAATCCTGTGATGACGTGAGGAAGACGACCCGGCTGAGGACACAGTGGGGCCCGGTTCTTAGGGACGCATAGCAGCCTCCGGGGGCGGCTGTAACAAATGACCACAACCCAGGGGGCTTGAAACAGCACAGACTGATTCCCTCCCAGTTCTGGAGGCCAGAAGTCCAAAATCAAGGTGTCGGCAGGAACTTGCCCCCTCTGGGGGGTCTGGGAAAGGATCCTTCCTGCCTCTTGCAGCTTCTGGGGGCTCCAGGTGTTCCTTGGCTTGTGGTGGAATCCTTCCAGTGTCTGCCTCCGTCTTCGAGTGGCCTGCTCCTCTGTGTATGTGTCTGTGTCTCTCCTCTTGTAAGGACATCAGGCATTTCATTTAGGGCCCACCCTCATCCAGTATGACCTTATCTTAACTTGATTTCATCTGCAAAGACCCTATTTCCAGATAAGGTCCCATTCACAGGTAGGGGGGGTTAAGACGCAGACATCTCTTTTGGGGGGCACCGTTCACCCCACTACAACAGCTGAGGCTCTGCACTGAGGAGGTTATCCGGGGACTGGAGTGGCTCACGCACGGCCCCTAGAGGTGCCAGCAGCGAGCAGGGGAGATGTGGTCTGTGGTTGGGGGACAGAGCAGGGCGGGTGGTCTGGGGGCTCCGGCCTTCGCCTGGCTGCCTCACTGCAGGGCCCGGGCTTTGCACAGGAACCCCTTGGAATCTTGTCAGGATGCAGGCTCTGATTCAGCAGGTCTGGGGCAGCCTGAGCCTGCATTTCTAACCTGCTCCCGGGGCGTGTGGTGGCAGTTGATCCTGGACCATACTTTGAGGTGTGAGGGTTTTGCAGGCTTTTTTCCCCATGAGCCAGCAGAAGCATCCCCAGAGAAGGTCCCCCAGCGTCCGCGCAAGCCCCCGATCCACTGTTCGACACCCCAGAGGTAGCCCCAGACAGAGACCCCAGCACTGACCACAGGGCCCCGTGTCCGTGGAACAGAAGTGGTGGGTCTCTAGGAAGCGAGCCGCTGAGTGCTTTCCGACCTACACTCTTACAACCCCACGTACAGGACACAGGAAGGCTGAGCCTGGCCGACAGGCTGTGACCATGGGTCTCCCACTGTCCCCCCCAGCGACCTCACCCAGGCTCAGAGAAACCGAATTTGAAAACTGCTTCCCCAGACGCCTGCAAGAGAGAGACCCTGGGTGTTGGGAAAAGCTTTGGCACCTTCATCCAGAGGACAGCCCTCAAAGTCAGTTTCATGCATGAGGATCCAAGAGGGGTCCCATGTCAGAGACCCCCTGGGACAGCACGCATGAGCAGAAATGACGGGAAGAAAAAGGGTCATCGAGGCAGGAGGCCCAGGCCTTCCTTCTCCAGGAGAGTCAGTCTCTCTCTCTCCCCTCCCCTGACCGCAGTGGGGTCAGCTTCCAGGGCCCCCGTTAAAGGGACAAGGGCAGTTTGTAGCCAGTGTGTCTCCCTGCAACTGAGACCCATCAGCATTTTTCAAGTCCAGCCTCAAAGCCCACTGGACATTATTTATGTCTGTGGGTCGCTGCCGAGAAGGCCACAAACTGAAATCCCTGCTGTGTGTGCTGGGGGTGGCCGCGGCCCGCGCCGCCCCGAGGCTGAACTTGACCCCGGCTTTGGCAGAACCGTTGAGGCCGCGGACAGCAGAGCCATGTGAGGTCTGCTTGCTTTCATGCTGCCCTTTGGGGTTCACCTAGGCGCCCCGGCTGGCCGGCTGTTGCTGCTCGGCATTCCTCCTCTGAAGCTGGTGTGGTCCTTCCGCGGCATCTGTTTCTCATCTTTGCAGATGTTGCTTTTGAGGAGCAAGCTGGGAACTGGCTGCGGGAGAATGGGCGCTGCTTCCAGAACAGACTTCGGGGCGCACAGTGGGGTGGTGAGGA